AATGTCCATTTCACTATTCCTCAGTTCTCCCTGTGGACTTGTGGTGTACTTTGCTGGTTCAATATTTCTCATGATGTTGTGTTTTAAAGTCCTGTTTGAACAGAGAACAGAAATAGGATGTAGGAAAGACAAAGGAAGATAAACTTTTCAAACTAAGAGAAGGACCTAGCACAAAAGTGTGAAAAAGCAAAATATTCTCCAAGTAGAGAATTATCCAGAGGAGGTGGAGGAAAGGACACTTAAAGAGAATTAACAGAGGCTAGAGGGGTGCATGGACCATAATGTAAGGTCACGACTACTGCCTGGACATCAGCATGGAACAGGAATGTAGATGACAAAAAGAAACCAACAGACAAAAAATATAAAGTTTATTTTTTTAATGGTAACAGATATAGGAATACTTGGAAATATGAAAAATCAGGAGACAATGTGTCATATTCCCAGTTCCCCAGTGCTCAAAGGAGACATAGTTATTCATGATACGAATTGTGAGAGGCCTTCTGCTGCCTTTTTATGGGAGGTTAAGATGGGTGAGGGTGCAGGTGTTTTGATTTCTTCAGCTTAACCTGACACATTCCTACAGACCAGGGGTACTTAAGTTCAACTTAGCATCTATTACAAGACCCAGTTTTCAAGCCTGCAAGAGTACTACTCCCAAGAACTGCCATGCTCAGAAGTTTAAACTCCAAACCTGTGGGTCCCTGTTGCCTATAGGGTAATTCAGACAGCATGTCAAAACATACGCATAAAAACAATATGTAATATTGATAGGAAAAGTGAGAAATCAAATGCATAAGGCAATTGGGATGCTACTTAAATAGCCAGAGCATGAGATGACACAGCTAAACTGTGACAGTGGGCCACTGTCTCCTGGGATTCAACCTGGCTCCTATTGAAGCATTCAGAGTAGTACTGGATCCTCACAAACTGCAGGTGGCCTTAAACTCCCTTTACCACACACAGTCCCATGGAGAAAGAGTTCCAAGAGGAAGAAACAGCATTCCAAAAAGGGCAAAGACCCAAGATAACAGAATTATGATAAGGAAAGAAGGTATTCTGTGTGAAAGCAAGAGATTTCAGCATCTTTGATTGTCCCACCCTTTGTCATTATTTGCTCATAGTCCTTGCTTTACAACTTTGTAGTCTGCATAATATGGAAGAAAAGCTTGGATTACATAAAACCAATCAAAGAACAAAGGTGCCATAGCATGTAAAGGAGTAGAAGAACATAAAATTAGATGTGTTGCATATCATATTTCTCAAAAATTGCACAGAATTGTTCAACTTTGAATTTACCTAGTACTGCCTTGTGTTCAAGAGATTGAGGCTACAGACAACTGAAAAATATTGGCCTAGCCCTTTAATGTTCAGAAAAATGTTCAGTTCCTTCCTCTCTCACTTTCCATCTCTCCACATTTTACCTCAAGACAAGGGATGCATTTAGGAATATGTTAAAGATCTATCGTCAGTAACATACATGTCATCCAAGTTTACTAAGTTGTTATTTACACTAGTTGATGGAAGACCTCCAGCTCCTAAAAATCCCCAGCCCCAAATATTACTAAGCATCCACAGAAGGTACCTGTAGTAGGTACCACCACAGATGGCACCCAGTGCTCTCCTTCCAGTGTTCACACTCGTGTGATCCCATCCCCTTCAGTGTGGGCTGGACCCAACGGCTCACTTCTAATGGATAGAATGCTACAAAATTTCTGGTTAGTTACAAAGGGACTGTGCTTTCCATCTTGTTCACTCTGTCTCACTGTCTTATTATGAGATAACACAGCTGTCATGTTACGAGCTGAACAACGATGGCTCAACCAGGCAAGAAAACCATGTCTCAGACCAATAACCAGCAGTGTCCCAAGGCCCAACCAAAACAGTGAGCCTGGAAGCAGAACTTCTGAGGCTTTTCACCTGCCATATATAGAGTGAATTTGGAAGCAGTTGCTCCTTCATTGGACTTTTAGATGACTGCAGCCATGGCCAAAACCGTTGTTGCAGCCTAAGAGAGATCCTGAGCCAAAGGCCCCCATTTAAGTCACACTCAGATTTCTGACCCCCTAAAACTCTGAGGTAATAAAATATTGTTGGTTTAAGCTGCTAAACTGTAACGTAATGTACTTCACACCAGAAAAAATACAGTAGCTAACTACGTGCCTTTAGTTTCACTTTTACAACAAAAGAATAGAATTTGATGCCACTACCACTGGCCATTTTTGCTATTGGGGGAAGTTACCTGATTATGACCAACCTAGACCCTCCGGGTTTTAAAACTGCATGGCAAGCTGTAGAGAAGTTGACTCTCTTTTCTGACTGTTAATGATCTGATAATGCTTTTCCACTATGAGTTGAGAGGCAATAGTGCTTATGCCATGATATGTCAGAGTTTACTTACAGCCCTCCATGCCTGGGACCCATATATACATGCAGAGCTATGGACAGGGGACAGATATCATTGACAGCTTCCAGGCTGTTCACCTAAATTAGTTCTCATGTTCAATATACCTTGTTCCTGCTCCTCTTAGGAAAATTTATCAGTCTACATCTTCTCAACAACACTCTGCAAGCAACCAGCAGACCGCTTTTAGATTATCTGACCAGGTACCCTACATGCCCAATGCTATGTGGAAGATAGTTGCAATGTCAAAAATAGATACAGGACTAACAGAGCATTCAGAGAACTTCTCAAAAATATAAGTAAAAGAAACATAGAAATGAAATATTTTTCTATTATTTTAATAGAAAATAGAACAAATTACAGAAAGGGTAGCCTTAATGGCTCAAATTCATTAATAATGAGAAAAATATAAAGATGATATATATCCATCAGAGTGAGAAGAGTAGGAAGTTGGATAACACTATATATTGATGAAGATATGGCAATGTCACATACTAATTTAGAAATACATTAACACATCCCAGGGAAGACATCAAATTAAAGATGGATGGAGCCAATTATTACTACTCCAGCTTCCTCATCTGTCCTGTGGAATATCTCTGACGCAGGTTCTACACAGTCTCTCAAAGTTCTCCAGCAGGATTGACCACGCCCTCTCCAAGGAAGACAAGAAAACCTACCCATTACATGTCCTTTATTGGCCTTTTTTCTTCTCTATGTTACTCTCTACTATCCTCCTAGTGCTTACTAGGATAACTTCTCCAGTAAACTACTTGTATTCAAACCCTCGACTCAGGATCTGTTTCTGATAAAATAGAATCTATTAATAAGACAGTGGATATTCTTGCCTTGTTCCTACTTTTACAGGATATTAAAACTGTTTCTCCCTTAAGTAAGATACTGGCTTTAGGAATGAACTATACATATACATTATAATCAATGTTTATTTTATTGAGTATTTTCTATGAGAAATTGGTGTTGAAGGGCCTTTTTAACATCGCTGGAGAGAGTATATTACTTTTCTCCTTTTATCTATTAATGTGATGATATGATTTCCTAACTTTGATCCCTGAGAATTAGCAGTAGAAAGGGAAAAGTTTCTATCAGCTTCTTAGTGGGAAAGGAGCTGGTGAGTCACAGAACTGGTCCTTGCAAAGGGTGGAGCCTTCCTGCATTAGAGGGACATGTGTCTTTTTGTGGGGCCGCTCGCTGGGGAATAGAGTTAAGAAAGAGGTCATTGGGAAGCATTTCCAGTTACATCTGTGGCCACTTAAGAAGAGAGTTGATGATAAATCAGTTTTGTTCTTTTACTATGGCCCTATTAGAACAAATCTTGGAAGATTCCTAGAAAAATGATATGATTGGATATTAAATTTATTCAAACTTAGAATAAATTAAGGAATTAAATGGATTCATTTGTAATGTACCATTTTTGGTTCGTGTATTTTTTACATTTATAACCTGATTTGGATGCTATAATTACTTCGTAGAAGAATTACAATTACAATTAAACAATGCCACGTTATTTCACTAGTCTGATTTTAAAGACAAGACAAAGACCTTATTTTTCTGGTTCACTATTATATCCCAAAATTCTGTGTGTGTTTTAAATATTTAAGTGTGGGAATACTAATTGATATGTGTAGAATCAAAACAAAAATAAACTCTTCCTGCCTTAAGAGGCAGTAAAAACTAGATGTTATGTAATTATCTTTATTCTCAAATAAAATATAATGGATTATTTCTTCTATTGTGACTTTCAAACATGGTCCAGAAGGGGAGGAGGCAGGTAGCCACACTGAGGTGGTGCCTGTATGGCTTCCTGTAATGCCCAGGGTGGCATCCCCAAGGCTGGTAAATGCTGCACTAACTCAAACTAACTCAAAGGTTAACAATAAGGGATGAATTAAAAGGATATACAGGTATATTACAGAACTTAACAAATGCACATAGGTGACCAAAGTGAGTTGGTAGTAGAAGAGACTCGGTCTCTTCATCCCAACTTATTATTTGGCTTCTCTTGCGGTTGTCCAATTTCCTCTTTCCAAGTTCGTGTGTTGTAATGAACACCATCACTGATCTCAAGGTAATGTCTCCCCAGATAAACTGAAATCCATTTTTGCAGGAGAAAGACCCTGGTCTAGTTGTAAGCATATGACCTTAATTAAATAGATTCATCACTGAGCCAGAGGGCAGTGTCATATACTAACACTTATTGCATATAATCACATCAGGGGAGGAAAAGTTCTGAGAAAATTGGCTGGGCATGTGTGGGGATGTAAAATAGGTGAAAAATAGCAACTTTTTCAGCAGAGGGACTGATAGGTCATAAGGTGGGAAATATGGGTCAGAAGCTAAAGAAAGAAAAACCCCAAATCTGTATTCTCTGCCCATACTTATCTCTGATTCAGATACTACCTTATTAAAACCATTATAAATATTCTCAAAATATCAGAAACATTTCATTCATATTCTTGCCAGAAATTGAAAACCTACACAAGGCTACACTTTACAGATTCATCTGAGAATTCCAATAGTGGCAGGTTAAAAAATGGAGCTCGACAGATCTCTAAGGCATCTTTTAAGTTGGCTAGAATGTTCAAAGTGTGAACAGAGGTTGTGTGCGTGAACCCAGGTTGCAGTGGCCAAACAGCCATCGTATCAGCAAACCCCATGTTCTCTCCCGTATTTGTTTGGACCTCATTCCATAGATGATGGGGTTTAAGGTGGGTGGGATGACCAAGTACAAATCAGCTAACAGCACCTGGATGTGCAAGGGCACGACATCTTGCCCTAGCCAGGCTACATAGATGGATACCATCCCAGGTAGATAGAACAGAGCCATAACTCCCACGTGGGAGCCACATGTGCTTAATGCTTTCAACTGAGCATTCCTTGAGGAGAGACCAAATACTGCCCTGAGAATCAAAACATAGGAGGCAGCAATGAAGACCACATCAGAGCCCACAATAATGGAGGAACCAACCAGACTGTAGAGACTGCTGGGCATGGAGTCAGCACAGGTTAACTTGATCACAGCCATGTGCTCACAGTAGGAGTGGAGAACCACATTGGAGCCGCAGAAAGGTAGATGGCTCACCATCCAACTCAGTGGTGTCATGGCTGTGACAGCTCTGATGATGATGATCACACTCATTCCCAGAGTCACTTGGGGTGTGAGAATTCTCTTGTAATGTAGAGGCTTACAGATGGCTACATAACGGTCAAAAGCCATGGCCAACAATAGCCCTGTCTCTATAGCTGTGGCTGCATGGACGAAATACATCTGAGTGAAACAAGCATTAAAGCTGATGGAACTGTCTCCTGAGCAGAAGATGCTCACCATCTTGGGTACCACAGAAGAGATCATAATAATGTCCATGGCAGCAAGAACACACAGGAAGCAATACATGGGCTCTTGGAGAGTGGAATCCATCCAGATTACAGTTATAATGAGGGTGTTCCCTACCAGGGCTATGGTATACATGACACTCAGTGAGATAGTCATGAAGAGATATGAAGACTGCAATCCTGGAATACCTGCGAGGAATAATATGGCAGAGGTGTCCATCGTGTGGTTGTAGAGTGGCCCCACCATCTCAGATGAGAGTGCTTTCCTGTTAATGCACAAAGTGATGTGAGAGAAGCATGCAATCCTGTAAGATTTTTTCTCATCTGTGGTGTTTGTAGATACTGGGAGTGTTCTCAGCTTGGAGATATTCTTAGGATCAGAAAATGGATATCTTACAAAGTTATCCTGTTTCACCTTCCTTCTTCCACAAAATTCCTTGACTTACTAATTGCCATTCATCATTCTAACATCAGTTCATGTGCTACCTCCTTAGGGAAGTCTTCTCTGCTGTCTCTTCTGCCTCATCCCATGCCAAGGCTAGGTTAGGTATCTTTCTTTTAACCTTTCATGGATCTCCCATACTGACCTATAATAGACTAAAATGACAATTACAATACCTACCTATATCTTTTTTTAAAATTTTTTTATTTCATGAGATTATGAGGGTACAAACATTTTGGTTACATGTTATGACTTTGCCATACCCCAACCATGATTTGAGATGTGCTCTTCCCCCCAACAATGCTCACCGTGTCCATTGGTTGTGAGTTTACCCACCCCCAACCCCCCTACCTTTATGTGTATGTCCTTGATGTGTATGTCTCTCGTTCATGGCCTTGTACAAAGTGTGTGATCCTTAGCTGTGGTTCACATGTTCTTTAAAAAAAGACATGTATATTCATTATGGTAAACAGTTCCATGAATGAATGATAAATCAGAGGAAAGATTATGTCTTTCTCTGTATGCTCCGTTACTAAC